TTTGAAAAATTTCAAAATTACTCCTTTTTCGTTTCTGTTTCAAATTCATTGAATTCTTCGAGAAAAAAAGAACTTCGAGAACGAAATTTTCCTCCTCCTTTTCTCTATTTCTCCTCTTCCTATCTTTGTATTCTCATTTTACTTACTAATCATAAATTCATGAGCTCTCGTTGAGGCTATATTTTTTGTTTGTTTGCCGTCTAAATCCCTCTTTTCTGTCTTCTAGATATCAACAGAAGTCAGAAAATTCTGGAATCATGAGATTCATGGATTTTGGAATTTTGAGATTCTGAAGTTTCGAAATTCTGAAATTTTAATATTTCGAAATTCTGAGATTCTGAAATTCTAAGATTCTGAGATTCTGAGATTCTGAGACTCTGAGATTCTGAGATTCTGAGGTTCTGAAACTCTGAGATTCTGAAATTCTGAGATTCTGAGATTCTGAGATTCTGAGATGCTGAGATTCTAAGATTCTGTTCTGAGATTCTGAGATTCTGAGAATCTGAGATTCTGAGATTCTGAGATTCTGAAATTCTGAGATTCTGAGATTCTGAGGTTCTGAAACTCTGAGATTCTAAGATTCGGAGATTCTGAAATTCTGAGATTCTGAAATTCTGAGATTCTAAGATTCTGAGATTCTGAGATTCTGAGAATCTGAGATTCTGAGAATCTGAGATTCTGAGATTCTGAAATTTTGACATTTTGAGATTCTGGGTTGAGATTCTGAGACTCTGAGACTCTGAGATTCTGAGATTCTGAGATTCTGAGATTTTGAGATTATGAGATTCTGAGATTCTGAGATTCTGAGATTCTGAGATTCTGAGATTCTGAGATTCTGAGATTCTGAGATTCTGAGATTCTAAGATTCTGTTCTGAGATTCTGAGATTCTGAGATTCTGAGATTCTGAGATTTTGAGATTATGAGATTCTGAGATTCTGAGATTCTGAGATTCTGAGATTCTGAAATTCTGAGATTCTGAGATTCTGAGATTCTGAGATGCTGAGATTCTAAGATTCTGTTCTGAGATTCTGAGATTCTGAGAATCTGAGATTCTGAGATTCTGAGATTCTGAAATTCTGAGATTCTGAGATTCTGAGGTTCTGAAACTCTGAGATTCTAAGATTCGGAGATTCTGAAATTCTGAGATTCTGAAATTCTGAGATTCTAAGATTCTGAGATTCTGAGATTCTGAGAATCTGAGATTCTGAGATTCTGAGAATCTGAGATTCTGAGATTCTGAAATTTTGACATTTTGAGATTCTGGGTTGAGATTCTGAGACTCTGAGACTCTGAGATTCTGAGATTCTGAGATTTTGAGATTATGAGATTCTGAGATTCTGAGATTCTGAGATTCTGAGATTCTGAGATTCTGAGATTCTGAGATTCTGAGATTCTGAGATTCTGAGATTCTAAGATTCTGTTCTGAGATTCTGAGATTCTGAGATTCTGAGAATCTGAGATTCTGAGATTCTGAGATTCTGAGATTTTGAGATTATGAGATTCTGAGACTCTGAGATTCTGAGATTCTGAGATTCTGAATCTCAAAATCTCAAAAATGGATTTTCAAAATTTCATGAAATTTCTGGAAAATTCGAAATTCTTTTTTAGAAAATTCAAAAATTCTCCCGAGCCCAATCAGTCGTTTCGTCCCGAATAAAATTTCTCGTTTCCTTCCCATCTAATTGTTTCCAAAAAAAAAAAGAGAACAGAATGGTCAATTTAATTGCTCAATTAAATTTTAAATTCGTCCCGTTTTCTGGAAAAAAATTTCTCTGGGAAGAAAACGGAGAAAAAGGAGCTCATCAAAAATCAAACGTCTTCTTTTTTGGCGCTTTTTTTTTTCGAAAAACCAACGTCTTTTATTTTTCTTTAAACTTCAAAAAAAAGGAGAAGATAAGAATCTGCGCGTCAAGGTTTTTTGACACAGTTTCGAAATTTTAGGTTGTCGAAAAGAGAAGAAAATGTTTACTTTAGAATTGCAGAGTTTTAGGATCTCAGAATTTCAAATTTCGAGATTCTGAAATTCAGAATTTCTGGAATTCTGGGATTCGGAGCTTCGGAGCTTCGGAGATTCTGAGATTCTGAAATTCTGAATTTAGAAGATTCTGAACTTCCAAGATTCTGAGATTCTGAGATTCTGAGATTCTGAGATTCTGAGATTCTGAGATTCTGAAATTCTAAGATTTTGAGATTCTGAGATTCTGGGATTCTGGGATTCTGAAATTCTGAAATTCTGAGATTCTGAGATTCTTTGAAAAAATGAGAATCTTCAAAATTCCAAAATTTCAGAAATTCCAGAAAATTCTGGGCCTCATATTTTGCAAAGATCCCTTTTTACCGATCTTTATTTCAATGTTTTCTGCTTCTTAAAATATAAAAATCCTCCTATCAGAGTTTCAGAATCTTTAACATTTCAAAAATTCGGAAACTCTAGAAATTTCTGAATTTTTTTTTTCAAAATTTTAATTTTTCGTTTTTCTCCCATCTCTCTCTCGAAATTGCTTCAATTTATGATCTCTAAAAAATTCAATTTCTATTTTACCCGTTTCATTTTTTCAGCATAAAATAAAAAAGAACCGAGAGAGAGAGAGAGAGGGCTATAAAAGTTCTCTATCTTTTATTTTCTTTCCTTTTTTCTTTTTTTTCCGTTCGCCAGCTTTTCCATTCATTCTCATACCCTTCACACGCGAAATTGCTCTTTATTTTCGGCATTCTCTCGTTTCTCTGCGTATCTCTCTCTCTCTCTCTCTCTCTCTCTCTCTCTCTCTCTCTCTCTCTCTCTTTCTCTCTCAAGGTTTGACCCCAAGTCAGTCTAACTCAAACCCAAACCCAAACACAAATAAAAAATACAATACACATTCTTTTTTGTGTTGTATGTCTTTGGTTTTTTCTTCCTTTGAGTTGTCCCCTCGTAGCTAGTTTCCCACTTTTTAAAGCTTCTAGAAGTCTAAAAGTATTTGGAGAGGATTTCGAAGCTTTTTGAAATGTTGAATTCCCGCCAGACTTTTTTGAAAAATGCGGAATTACATTGAGAGGATGAAATTGGTATCGATTTTTATCATCTCGTAATTCAACTAGATTTTGTCCTAGGAATCTAAATTTTTCCAGATACGCTAAGCAAAAATACGGCTTCAATTTTGTAGTTGACAAGATTTTCTACGAATCCATCCAAACGAGATATGCCACGTGGCAGAGGAGTACCGCGGTCGCCGGCGGCACTTTAGAGGGCACCCCTTTTCAACCTTGCATATCTCACCAGGATGAAATTTTTGAAAAAAGTTGTCAACTACAAAATTAAAGCTCTATTTCTGATTAGTATGTCTGGAAAGTTTTAGATATCTAGGACAAGATTTGTTGGTTTTTCAAAGTTTTGAATTCGATCAGCTGACATTAGCGAAAAAATTGTTTGTAATTTTTGGAGAATCCTGACGTTTTTTTCAGTAAATTCTCTGTTTTTCGCTGATTTGATTCGTATTTTCATCACTAAAAACGGTCTAGAACATTTTCGCCTTCTTTCGATTTCCGCGAAAAAAATACCGCAAAACTTCGTTTAAAAATTCCGAAAATTAACACTTTTTCAATCACTGAAAGTTTTAAAAATTCAAACGCCCGCTCAAATTTCTCCAGTACGACACTCCGATATCCCGCTTTTTCAGTTCAAAAATTAATTAATTTTTCGGCGAAAAAGCGAAAAATACCGCGGTTTTTCGAGTTAAAATTGATGAAAAAACAGAATTCCCTATCAGAAATTGATATAAAAAACTATAAAATACAATTCACAGTTTGAAAGAAATCTGCAAAAAATATATTTTCGAAAATTTCAAAAAAATATTTTTTTCCAAATTTCCCAAATTTTTTTCTCAGTGAATTGCTATATTTTCTCATAGCTTTTTGTGTCATTTTTTTGAAAAAAATTTTCTTTATTTGCTTAAAATCTTGTTTGTTATAGTTTTTCCTCTCGTTTCTCTGCGTCTCTCTAGCTCTTATCACCAAATTTAATCATCTGAAAACAGTGTGTCATCAACATTTTTTATTAGTCAAATGATGCTGAAAATTTCAATTTTTTCCTTTCTTCTCAAATTTTTTCCGATTTTTTCAAATTTCCCGCTTTTCATAAAAATTCAAAATTCCGATTTTTCAGAATCGCCACCCCGATTCGAAATGTTATTGCTACGTGGCAATGTAGCACTGCTAGCAGTACTATTTGCACTGTGTAAGACCGTTTTATAGTATTTGTACAAAATATTAGTCATAGGGGGGAACATTTTTTAATATAAAGAGGGATAGAAAGTGCGCTCTAATGAGAAAATTTTGAATTTTAAATGAAAAATCGATTTCCAGACCTCCAAACGAGCCATGCGGCGACCAATAACCGATACATTGCTATGGGGAATTTGCAGACTGTGATTCACGGAGAAACGCTATTCTCCACTGATATCGACCCGGATCGTAAAGTCACCGGATTCTTGTGGTCGGTCATTCAGAAATTTTGAATTTTTGAATTTGGCGCCAAAATGAAAGTCTGAAAAAATCGCCGCGAAAAATGAACTATTTTGAGCTGAAATTAGCTGAAAACTCGAAATTTTTAAATTCGAAAATTTTGAATTTGGCGCCTAAAAACCTCGAAAAATGACTATTTTCAGCCAGAAAATGAATTTTTTGTGCCCAAAAATATTGCTGAAAAGTGACTGAAAATGGCCAAATCCTATTTTTTTTTTGGAATTTTTCAATTCCAAATTTTGAATTTGGCGCTGAAATATTGCTGAAATATCCCTCTTTTTGAGCTAAAATCGACTTCAAAAAATCTTATTTTCAGCCGAAAAATCCGCTGAAAAAATACTGGAAAAATACTGAAAATTGGCGAAAATCCACATTTTTTTCTTGTCATTTTTCATCAAAAAATTTGAAATTGGCGCTCAAAAATCGCTGAAAAATGATCTATTTTTAGCTAAAATTTGCTGAAAATCAGTTTTTTGAAACTCAAAACTCGCTGAAAAAACCTGAAAATTAGCGAGAATCCAATTTTCTCAAAAATTCAAACTTCCCGCCCATTTCCAGGTGCCAAGTCCGCGAAGGAACGATCCACTACAAGCCGACATGGGCTCGTTTCGTTCGTATTCGTGATAAGAAGGAGTTCCCGGCTGATATCGCTCCAGACAACAAGGCCTATCTTCATTTCGGGCAGTCGAAAGCCGACGCCGCCGGAAAGTATCGATGTGAAGTCAAGATTCCGGATAGCTCCATTATCACTGGAAACATGTTCGCTTATTGTGAGTTTTGGCTGAAAATTGGCCGAAAATGTTATTAAAAATTCAGAAATTCGTTCAAAATTTTAAAATTTTGAACGAATTTTTGAAAATTTGACCTAAAAATGAGTCATTTTTAAGCATTTTTTTTGGCGGCAAACTCATATTTTCAACTGAAAATTGGGAAATTTTCAACTTTTTGACCAATTTTAGCCCAAAAAAGTCGTTTTTAGTGGTTTTTGAGAATTTTGGCTCTAAAATCCTGAGAAGAATTTAGGAAAATTTTGAAAAAAAAACAATTTCTCGCAAATTTTCAGCACTTTTTCAGCGGATTTTTGACTGAAAATAGCCTTTTTGAAGTCAATTTTCAGTAAATTTATTTAAAAAATGTCATTTTTATAGTTTTGCAGGCGCCAAATTCAAATTTTTTGATGAAAAATGACAAAAAAAAATGTGGATTTTCGTCAATTCTCAGTATTTTTCAGCGAATTTTTCGGCTGAAAATAGGATTTTTAAAGTCGATATTTTAGCTCAAAAAGATGGTTTTTTTAAAGCAATTTTTTGGTGCCAAATTCAAATTTCTCAATAAAAATATAGTAAATTTTGGGGGATTTTCACCATTTTTCAGTCCTTTTCCAGAGATTTTTTCAACGACGCTAAATTTGAATTTTTGGCTGAGAATAGGATTTTTTGAAGTCGATTTTCGCTCAAAAAATGCCATTTTTCAGCAAAATTTCGGCGCCAAATTCAAAATTTTGAGTTGAAAATATCCAAAAAAAAAAAGGATTTTGCCATTTTCAGTCACTTTTCAGCAATATTTTTGGGCACCAAAAATGCATTTTTCGGCTGAAAATAGCTTTTTTTTAATGTTGATTTTCAGTCAATTTTAGCTAAATATGGGTCATTTTTCAGCGATTTTTAGACGCCAAATTCAAATTTTTTGATGAAACATGACAAAAAAATATGGATTTTCGTCAATTTTCAGTATTTTTTCAGCGAATTTTTCGGCTGAAAATAGGATTTTTTGAAGTCGATTTCAGCTCAAAAAGATGGATTTTCAGCGATGTTTTGGCGGCAAATTCAAATTTTTGATTAAAAGATTTTGAACATTTTGCGATTTTTCCAATTTTTTGCATTTCTCAACAAATTTTCGGAGCCAAATTTGAATTACCGGAAAAATGGCTTAGCGGAATCACTTCAAATTTCACCCCAAAAAATACACGTTTCGAGCTGTAAACTTTAGCCAGAAATTGACAATTCATTTAAAAATTAGTCTATTTTCGAGGTTTTGAGAGCTAAATCTGACTGAAAATAAGGCAGAAAATGCTGATTTTGAGGCATTTTCAACCTATAAAAGATAGGTTGTTGGAGCGAATTTTCAAAATTAAAATGGCTTCAAAATAAGACAAAAATGGCTCATTTTTAATCGAATTTTCAATAATTTTTGGCTGAAAATTTCAGAATTTAAAATTTTCTTTTTTGGTTTTCAGTATAATTTTCACTAGAATTCCTTTATTTTTGAACTTTTTCTGAATATTTCATAATCTTAGACTTGAAATAATGTTTTTTCAGCACACCCCATCGTGAAAAACAACGAATCGTGGCCGCTGACGGCGTCGACAACTGAGCCATTCACTGTTTTGGTAAGCGGGAATTCAAAGTTTTCCAAAATTTAAAAATTTTCAGAAATTGCCCAAAATCAAAAAATAGAGAAAAAAACCGAAAAATTCCGATATTTGCAAAATTTCAGTTCAAAATTTGGAAATTCCAAAATTCAAAATTAAAAAAGAAACTCCGAAAATCCAAAATTCCAACTGAGCTACCGTATACCGTCAACTTGGAGCTCAATTATCTCGGTTCCAGTGAGAGATATCAAAAATTTCTCAACTGACGAAATGTTTATCATTATATCACCAACATTTTATCAATTGACACATTTTTGATATCTCTCAGGAGCCGAGATAATTGAGCTCAAATATGACATATTCGGAGGGTTTGGGTTTTCTAGGCCACCACTTAATAGGGTAATGTAACTTGAACATTATGTAAGTTAGCACTTTTGTTGGGAAAGATTACTGTAGTATTTTAAGCCAAAAATCTCCATTTTCCAGGCCGAAGCCGTGTACGCGTCGCCCGACACGACCGCCCGTATTCCATGTCCCATTATCGGATACCCAGAACCGAATATCATTTGGTTCCGTAACGATTTTCCATTGGAACTCGAGGGACGTGTCTCTTTTGATCAAGCGAATGGCGTTTTGAGTATTGAGAATGTGAAAGAGGAGGACGCTGGAACGTATCGATGCGAGGGAACCAATCAGTTCCCGGTGCAAATCGATGGGCCGGAGCAACAGTTTATTGTCAAGCTGAAGCAGGAGTTGAAGATTGGAGGTGAGTAGTTTTCGAGACGAATTCAGCCTGAAGTGGTGGCCGAACTTTGGTTTTCTAAGCCACCACTTGAAAATGACATTAAAAATGCCCTAACATGTATCGGATGTGTTTTCTAGGCCAATTTAGCATGATGGCCTAACTTTCCCAACATGAAGTTTCTAGGCCACCACTCCAAAATGACCTAGTAAATACACCGGGTCATGTTAGGGCATTTCTAGGCCATTTTGAAGTGGTGGCTTAGAAAACCAAAGT